ACACGCAAAAATATTTATGTTGCAGATTTGTTTACACCGATCTTCTAGTTGGGCTTATAGACACTCGAAATGGGAAGCTACCTTAAAAACTATGCTAACTTATCCGTAATGCTCGGTCATCGAAGCTAACTGAACGCGAGCAAGGTCATTTCAAACAGTCATTTGCTGCGAAGTGAATCTTTCAATAACTACTCCAAAATTACTCCGAAGTGGGTGTCCCAAACCACAGTCATGTTTTACGTACACCACGTAAACCAGGCTAACACGGCAACGTCCAGTCTGCAAGATAGCAGGCGTACAGTCAGCAGTACGAATCACGTATGGTGACGTTAAACCCCACATATCAATCAATCAATCAGTCACATATGGTACTGCGCATGCGCACTTCTATCCCCTCGCTATCCTGCTAAACTATAACTGTCTACTGGCATACAGGCAGCTGCTCTCAATGACATGTAAGGCTGCTTACAATGACCATCGTGATTATGAACAAAGGGCAAAGTTCATCATAATGTTTATTTCTAAAATTTGGGTGCACAGAGCACGTTGTAAAGGGAAATGGAAGGTACCACGACAGATACTCTGCCTAAAGACATAACGTTTTTCTGCAAACATTCATAAAAACAAATACACAACAGAAGTGCAACACGTTATGCTTAAAAACATCGCATGCTTCGCCATGCACAACAATATGTTAGAGAAAATGTTTTGTTGTGCAAACACATTTGTAAGCACAAACACAAGCAAAAATGTAACTTAGTGCGTCCTGCCTAAAAACACCATCTACTTCTCTGCGTATTATGACGAAACCTAAAGTGATGGCATAAGAGCTTGGTGAAGCTTTTTTGTGCACACACCATTATAGAAAGAAACACAGCAATTAAAAACATTTGCTTGACCGCAGTTGACCAAGAATTAAAGTGAGGAGGCCTGTTCGTGCGAACGCCATTTTAAACACAAAAGAAAACTCAGCTTTTGTCAAGTCTAAAAATATCGCTTGCTTTACTCTACATGACCAAGATGGCAGTAAGGACTAAACATTCTGGTGAAGAAGTTTGCTTGTGCAATCTCCATTGTTAAAAACACACAGAGGAAAAGAACACAACGTAAAAGACATCGCACGTCTTGGTATGATCAAGAAGTGCGGTGAGCACATAACATTTCAACGAATAAGTTCGCATGCACAAACAAGTCTTGTAAGAAAAAAAAAAATGTGAAGAAAATGCAGTGCATGTCAAGCTTGAAGACGTTGCCTGCCTATCTCTGTTAGTCAAACTAGCTGCTCTAAAGAACAGATTTAGGCGAGGCATGCACTCATTTAAAAATTCACGACTTTCGCAAAGGCTACGCATTAGCCACAGGCATTTCTAATTGATGCAATATTTTTCTGCATCTGGCTTTCAACATGCATATATCTGCATCAAGGGTTACATCAGTGCCCGGAGCATCATTTTTACACATTGCTGACAAAAGCCTTCGAGTCGCACCACACTGAAAGATAGTTTTTCGTCCGGGAGCACAAAACTAGGTACATCACGTCGCATGTGACGAACCCATGCAGCTGACCTCAAAAATAAAACAAACAATTAAAAGAAAGCGAACAAAAACAAGCATGGTATTTTCATTCTGTCGGCAGTCACAGTTTTTTTTTTTTCACAGATCACAATGAAAAACAAAACAAAAACAAATAAAAAAGGAAACAGTCCATTAGTACATCTATTCCAAGCTCCGTTGTTACTTTAACACCGGAGCTGGAATAATCAATCCAGTTTAGACAGAAACACTTATCTGCATTCCAAGCCAGCTACAAAAACAAGACTCGCTTAATGCATTGTAAAAATAAAAAACACACACACAACACAACACAAACAAAACAATAAAACAACAATGCCACGACAAAACTTTTACAGTGCACACAAAAAAACTAAGCACGGTCTTTTCATTCTGTCGGCAGTCACAGTTTTTTTTCACAAATCACAATAAAAACAAAAACAAATAAAAAGGAAACAGTCCATTAGTGCATCTCCAGTCCTGAGCATAACGCCGTTCAAGTCAATGTACTATGCAAAGTGTCCGCTACCAAAACCCGTTACTTTAACACCGGAGCTGGAATAATCAATCCAGTTTAGACAGAAACACTGTTATCTGCATTCCAAGCCAGCTACAAAAACTAGACTTGCCTGATGCATTTTCAGAATAAAAAACACGCACACAACACACACAAACAACAATAAAACAGCAATGCCACGACAAAACTTTTACAGCACACACAAAAAAACTGTTCCGAGGCATTGCCACAATGGCCACTTCGAAACAAACACACCAGTGCTCATGCGTAAAGCACAGGTAAGCCTCAAAAGGAACAGCTAATGAGTGAATCAGCCATGAATTGTAGTTGGAACACGTGATCAAGCCTAGCGGCACTTTATATAGTGCGCAGATGTCTGGCATGAGCTACCTTTTTCAAACGTAGTCGAATGAATTCACTAATTGCAATATGTTCGCTAGCCAGTTAGGCATTTCCTTTGAGAATACGCCATACCGTACAGCTTACAATTTGCTGACAAAACTTACACTTGATGAGGCTAACTCGCATTTGTCGTGAAGGTATAATAAGCATGGCTTGGAACGCAACTGAATGTGGCGGCTTGGGTTTCTTACAATTTACGAAAGTTATAATGGGTTTTAATCTGAACGCTCCATGCCAAGCCATTCAAAGAATGATGAAAACGACTACTAACAAGAATCCTTACAACAGGTAGCAGAATTGACCATCAGGTGTAGAGAATGACAAAACAACAAAACAAAAGTTCCAGCAGTCCCCGGAATATCAGATTGCACAGCATTTGCGAGAACTTTGGCTTCTTTTTGTTTTGCATTTATGACTGAAGTGCATCACATTGCAATTTCACTCTACAACAGCGATGCTACCAAGTGAGCCAATGACTCATACACAATGAGCTAAAGATGGCGCAGATAAAATTAGAAAAAAAAATCTCTATAGAAATAAAAAAAAAAGATGACATAATGGCCTGCATATTCACATTTTCCCCCCTAGGCACGGGGTCACCAGCCCTAAATACACCAAACTATGTACATATTAATGGGAAGGGCTGGTGGTGGTGAAGTGCAAAATTTTCTCCCGCACGACTCGTACTTACACAAGTATATGAAACACCACTACATTACAGAATGGTTAAAGCCGCCACAACGGTTTACCGAGTGTTGTTAATGTAACCTGATATCAGTGGCTAATCTATACGAAAGCTATAGCCTCATGTCGCATACACTTTGCACAATGAAGTTCCCTCAAAGGCGATTATTCGTCCGACATTGCGTTTTGAATATAGAAAACTCGACGCAAAGACAAAAAGTCGTCGCTAAGTGGCAGGTACGGGTAAAAAATTGTGAGACAACCGAGACAGTGGGCTGAGGTACGAGGAGCATCTGAACGGGTCTCCTCTAGTGATACAACACACCATTTCTATATTTACACTACGGGTGAAGGTAAAAAGGCGATGAACGTATCTTTTTTACAAGAAAGCTGCTGACGCAGCGGGATGTTTATCACAGTCTAGCCCCCTTTCATTGCACTCGCGAGCCTGACAAACACTCAAGAACGTTGCGCGAAAAAAAAAAAAAAAGCGCTCTTGTGCTTGCTCTGCAACACGTACCGGGCATGCGAACAGGCGCCTCTTGTTCGCGACCGTTTCAATGACATTTGTGACGACGCATGCCACGCGCGGATATTGCGAACGAGCCGCTGTTCATCTGAATGTCGATACTGAGGCCTGAACTCGTGAAGTGGAGCATCGTCGCAACAACCGACTACAGCATTACAATGCTTCTTACAGGTACAACAATCACCTGTCTTTTTTTGTATTACAGTCACCCACAATAGTACTCACACAAAAAAAAAAGAAATAGAAAAAAAAAAGGTTTGTGGGGAAGTAATAAGCAGCTGTATACCACACGTTACGCACACTCGCAGTGATGCTTCTCATTCTAAATTAGCATGCATATATACATAAATTCATAAAAATATACATAAATATGCCTTTGACAGCAGCCGAACGTAAGAACATAAGGCAATGCTTTCATTAAAATGTTGCTGTCCTTATCGCGATGACAGATGGCATCTACATCTGTTAGAGTTCCTGTCATTTCTCAAGAGACACGCCAAAACCAAATAGCATATTAAGGTAGCAGACTGGTCTTTGGAACCAAAAAGTGACAAAAAAATTAATTTAAAAAATAAGATGACATATTTGGTTTTTTCAAGTATTTTTCTATCTCTTTGCAAATTTTCACACACCAGGAAGAGGTAATTTTTTTGTAATGCCGTTCTAACTGTTCAGATTCTTGTTGCTGTTAACATGCAGAACCAAAAAAAAGGGGGGGGGGGGGAACCTACTTCGAGGCTTCTTTATAATTTGCCGGCACCTGTTTTAGAAGCTCCGCTGCGAATTTATGAGCACCTTCATGAGGATCGCAAAACATGCGCACCATGATTGTTGCTTCTTAAAGAAGCTGTGTGTTTTCAATTTTTTCCATTTTTCTCAAAAAGGTAAATTTACGACTGCTCAATTCAAGATATATTAGATTGATATTCAAGATATGTTGGCATATCTTGAATATCACTTTTAATTCAGTGCTTTTTTTTTTTACTATGGTGGCCTTAAACACAGGGGCGGCGCCAGGATGTTTTTACTGGGGGGGCAACCACGAAAAGTGAGTTCCTCCGGGGGGGGCAAGCTAGCTCTGCTCCTACTAGGTTTTCAATATATGCTTCCGGGCACTTGGGTGGGCATAGGGGGGGCAGGCGAGAATTTTGGGGGGGCTCCAGCCCACCCTTGCCCCCCCCTGGCGCCGCCCCTGCTTAAACAACAGGGGGTGAACTTAAGTTATCTCAGGAACAAGATGATTGACAGCAAAACTAATTAAATATTTGAAATCAGCAGAAAAAACTGCATAATCCTGTGCAGTTTGATCAAGATCACTGAAGAAATAAACAAAAAAAAATGTCTAAGACCAGTCTGCCCCCTTAAGGGATCTTAATTGGAAGTTAATTGATCCCCGTGTAAGCTGCAACTACTAAAGTGTTCATCAAAATGCACATTTTCAATAAGCAGATTCTGAACCTATGCGCCAATGTTTTCGAGGAACTGAGCTTTCCTGCAAGTCCTGTATTGTAAGGTAAAACGAGAAACGAAATATGACGATGCGTAAAATACACGGACACTAACAAGTGCAGCGACTAGAAGAGCAACCAGTACTTGGCTAAGCATTTCTTCGATCCCTTAGAAGGTTGCGAGTGTTCGATGGTGTGCGCTGATAGCTACATCACCGTACGAAAAATGAGAGATTGAAGTCGCAGAGAAATGGCTGTACACAGATCCCGATATTGGAAGTGTGAGACAATGAAGATGCATGTCTCGTACGACAGACAGGATTACAGTTGAAGTCATAGAAAAAATATGACTCATCATGATAAACTGAGTAAGTGAAGGAAAAAAAGATTAAGAAAGAAAGAATGTCTTGTATGATTATGAAACATGATGAAAGTGTAGTTAGTGTTATAAAAAATATGAGTGCGAAATGAAGACCATGGTGCAGAACAGATGAAAATCGATCATATGAATGAGAACAGGATGAAAAAAATGCCAGTTAAAGTAATAAAAAGAAAAAATTCCCAGTCCCGCCTGAGAAAGCAAGCAAAAACGAGAAAAAGTCTCGTACAGCTCGGTGACAGGCCGGGTACCACGCTGAATATCTTCTGCCATCAGCATCTTCGGCATGTAGCACATTTTCAGATTTTCAGCATGAATAAACAGCAAAAAAAAAAAATAGTAGGGACGAAACTAAAGATATTGGCCGACGGCCACTTTCACAAGGTCGTGAAATGCAACAAATGAACATTTGCAAGCGACGCAAGAAGACAATGCAAGAAAAAAAAAAACCGACGACAATGGTGAAGGCAGTGCTGCGGGCGGAAGATGTGGTCCCTCGAGACACGATCCCCAACGAGGAAAGCACGCTCCGCGGGCTGTTGGCTTGACAGCGGAGGCAGTTATTGCGACAGCAGGACCGGGAACAACGCAGCGATCCTTCTCTTCTTGGTCGTCTGGACGGGTGATGCAGAGCAGTCTGTCTCCGACCTTGGCCGTGCAACTGAAAGAAAGCGCGAGACAAATGCATTTACACCAAGGTTGAAGCATTGAATCACTCTACATACACTGAAATTTCATTACGACAAAGTCACATCTGCCATGAAAATACTTCGTTATACAGCCGAACCCACTTATAACGATCCCAGATATAACAGTATATAGGTTATAACGGCAATATTTTGGAGCACTTATTAATTTTGTATGCTACCTTTTGAGACCGAGAACACATGCAGCGAACATTTTTCAAAGCCTCCTATTTTTTACAACGAACACAACGTACGAAGCGAAAGAACTGTTGAAACAGGCTAAAGTTGCACGGCGGGCTTGTTGGTATTCAGGCATTCTAAAACATAAGATAGGCGCTCACTCCCGTGTGCCACACTGCTGTTTACTTGCGGGAAAGATATCGTAGAACACGGCTAGCACCCCACGCAGACTTTGGACGTTGTGAGCTGGGTCCCTCACTTTCCAGACGTTTCTTCGCCGGCAAAATGGAAATGATGGGGGAAAAAAAAAAAAAAAAAATAGAAGGCAGCATGAAGACTTGCGATCACCTTTCACGCGGCGTTTTTTCCTGACACCGTTCTTGGCACTAACGACCGCCGACGATAATCCAACAATGCCTTCGAACGCGAACAAACCATAAATGCGAGAAGCAATAACTTTCACTGGGACGCTCAACTCTACGACACCACATTGCGCCGCAAACACTTTTCCACCTTTCAGTAACGGCAGAGATCGGTCGATTGGTGTGCGTGTGCGTGGTTGCGGCGGTGCTTCAACGGATAAGCACCAGAAAACAGAGATGGCGACGTGTCCAGTGGCAATGAGCGGGCCATTTTGACTCATCGCCGCCAACCTTACCACAGTCATCTGCAGGTGGCTGCTCGGCGGAGTGACGGCAGTACAAATGCGTCATGCCGCCGTACGCAAGTTCGCCAGCGCTGCGTCGTGCGAGGTCGCTTGCGCACGTTGCTCGCAAAACTCTTCGTGTGTGCGTTTGTTAAACGAACAGGCTACTAGTCGCACTCGAGCTCGAGCCCTAGTGAAGCATGCGCAAAGAAAGCACAAAACCTCGCATACATTGGACTGCAATCGAACTGGCATGCGACGGTGAGAGCAGAGTAAGTAACATACTACACACAATCAGCCAGAGATGATTGGTTCGACGTGGCGATACCGCGCTTCCGTGGAACGGCGAGAGTTCATTGTGAACGTGGTTGAATTCACTCTGTAGCAAACGGGCGTCATCTAACACGCGAAAAGGCCTAACCTGTCAACGGAGGATTGTTTGCACTTTTGAATAAAAATACAAAAAAAAAAGACCGACTTGGCCACTAAGTGGATGTTTTTATAGGCGGGTTAATATACAAGGAAGTACCAATATAACGACCATTTATCGCGGCACTTCCGAATTCGTTATAAACGGGTTCGACTGTACCTGAAAAGTTGTTATAAATAATTGCTTGTAACACTGTATCTATGGCAAAACTATTGGTCACTTACTTCATTATGACCAATAAATTGTTAACTTGAATTCGTTACATTGAAGTTTGAGTGTACTTGTGCTACTAATTTTGCAAAAAGTTCGTACTTAGTTTCGTACTTACTTAGTTTCGTACTTGCAGGAAACGACTGTTGGTTGGTATGGGAAGTTTTGTGACCTTCGTTTGCTGTGTGCTTGTCAGCTGTGATGCCTCCACATTCACACCACCGTTTATATGGTATTAGACTGTGTTCGGAGTACTGTATTAGGGGAGACACGGGTCGTGAAGGCCAAAAAATTTCTGAAAAATTGATTTGTTGAAGTATTTTTTTAATTATATATAGGGCCTGAAGAAGGTTTTCCTAAAATGCTATTGCCATGTAATGCGTATTTGTTGAGTAATTCGGTCTTAAAGTCAGTTTCACGAACATTTTACCTCGCGAAACCACCTAAAAAATGGGCATATTCGAGGCCGCAGCGCCTAAGAACCAGGCCAAGTAGCATGGCAATTTCGGTCTCATTGAAAGCCGTATTCTTCTTTTGTCTGTTCCTAGCGCAACAACGCCTTTCATCTAGCAACAACGTAGCTATCGCTAATAAAGAAAATCCAAATACTCGCACATCATTGGTGCGTTTCCATCATGTGGGGCAGTTCCCGGTTCCCTAGTGGATGTCAAGGAATTCGTCTGCTAGACAGTGGTAGTGCAATCTGCCATTTTGTGACGAGGCCTGAGCGACAGCTGTGCGATCGGCGCAATGGCAGTCGGTCACTGAAAGTTCAATACTGCTCATGCGTTCGAAAAGAAGCAAAAATGGCGTCTGAGAGCATGCAGAGTCTTATCAGAAAAACCCTCTGCCGCCTAGAACACGGAAAAAGCTGGCTGTGCCAACGCTATCACAAACGCGGCTCCCGCGATCACGGACGCGATAGCTGGGGCCAATGATCACACGCGAGATCTGCTCGTCGGCACTCCCCTGGTTTCGACGCTGAAAAAGTGGCCCATGCGTGTCGTATGAGTGACATTCAATGAGACCTTTCGTTGACGTCAGCCTCATGACGCGAGCGGTCCGTTTCTTGAGACTTGGAAACGACCGCGACTACTGGAGCGCCGTTCACCGTTGTAAGCTGCTTCAGTGTATGAAGTGCGGTGTGTGAGGCGGGCCTGGCAGCATTTTCGAGCCACGAAACCTGTGCTGACGAATGATGAGTGCGGGGAACTGAAATTTGTACAGAGCTTGCCAAGAGCAAAGAGGGGGGGGGGGGGGGGGATCGCGCTGCTCGTTTGAGATCAACGTGCTCGCGGTTCGCGCGGCACAGCATACAGACAAACTGCGTCAAACTGCATTTTTTTTCACCCTGAATGTTTCATGGAGATGCAAAGACATATAAAGATTACGTGAAAGTGGGAACGATTCCTGTTTCGTAGAAGGTTGCAGCGCACGTTACTGACGACTGCGCCAGCACCGTCGAAACGCTGTATGCCGATCTGAACTATGGAAACCCTGGAAACATCTGGTACGCAATGAAAAGAAAGTGCTCGAACAATGATGACTTCACTCCTGGTGGCTTCTAGCATCATTACTGCACTGATATACACCATTAACTGTTTAATATACATGCTCACCGTGTCCCCGAACTTCTTTTCTGGTTTTCTCAAAACAACATTTTTCATCAAGTCCGAGGCCATTGCCCACAGTATCTTTTGATCTAGTGGTTGGATTTCGATAATTGTTGCAGCATTTGGAAGCTTATACATTAATGAGTGCAACAAGACCAAGACATTATGATAATTTCATTAAAAACAGTGATTTATTTAACGATATAATTAAGCAACAGTTTCAAATGTCTCACGAGTCTACTTGTTAAAGGACATAACTCTTGAACCAATGAAGATAAAAATAAATTAAGTTTCCTTGCACTCTCTCTTCTTTACAGAACACTTCCATATCTTACAGAAACTTCCATATCTTACTTACAGAATATCTTACAGAAAGCTGTCTAAACAGTGGGCAGAATGTAGGTTTATGGAACAGTCAATATATTGACATCTGGAAGTGACAGCTAAAAACTAATTGCGTATTTCTTTTCAGCTACGAGGAATGCATATCACATAATTTTTACAGCTCTAAAACTCAAAAAAAAAAAAAAAATGAAGTTCAGTGTCTCCCCTTGAACCGTGTTTACAGCCCATTAACTCAAACCTCAATGTAACAAATTTGGATATAACGAATTATCGGTTATAACGACATAACTTATAGCTTTGCCTTAGTGTTACAAATAATCGCTTATAATGAATTTTCGTGACAGAGGTGACTCTTGTTTGAGTGTAATACCTTTTTGGGTACAACATTTCTTTCACAGCTTCCACAGCATTACACATGCTATGTGTGAAAAGGAATGCAGTGTTGTCTAGTGCAAATTGCTGACAGGAGAGAGGGCCGAGGGAGGAGAGAAAAGGAAGAACCGCCACCTAACAGCAAAAGCCCCCCTCACCAGAGTCGGCCCCGTCAAACTGAATGAGGTCGCCAGCCTGTGGGACTTCGGGGCAGATGAACGGGCGACGGCACGTTGCTCGGGATCGGCTCGTCGAGCAGGCTGTCATCCGTCGGCGGGAACAGCTCCAGAAGTTCCGGTTCCGGCAGGTGACATGGCACGGGCTCCGGGTGCAGCTGCATTAGTTCCGGTTCGGCTTGCCTGCAGAGCTCCAGCAACTCTGGCTCAGAGCAGCTCTCCAAACTGCTCGTCGTTGCCTGGTCTACGGTTGAGTAGTTCGCTGCTGAGGGCACTCGCACCGTCGACACTGACGACAGATCGTTCGCGACAGTCTCCGCAGGCGCCCTGTTGACCTCCACAAGGCTGACAGCCCGTGCGTCTCGGTCCCAGCACATGTCGAAGTACTTGGGCAGTGAATTGAGCAGCTCTTCTAGGCTTTTGAAACCTAGCTGCTGCAGCGGAGGAGGTTTGCCATATCTGCAAGAAAGGAACAAGAAAGGCTTTAAATAGTCTACAGTCAAATCCCTTTATAACAAACACCGATATAACGGACAAATGGTTACAAGAGACATCATTGTGCTCCAATTGAAATTAGGGTTGATAAAAAAATTGCATACATTATATCCTGCTTATAAGAGACACATCATATAAGAGACAGGAATTGCTTCCTGGTGCATGTCTTCTATATAGGGGCTTCAACTGTATTAAATAATGATTACGAATCACTCTTTCTTTGCCAATCTCATTCCAAATGAATCCCTTTGAATTGGCGTCCCCAACTCACTGTTGTAAGTCACACATACCATGCCTCTCTGACTCACCTGCGAAGGTAAGCCTCTTCGAGCAGGACCAGGGACATCTTTGGCTCTTCGCCTGGCTCCGTGACGGGATAGAGCAAGCGGCGCAGCTGCCAGGCTAGATGGTACAGGGGCGACAGCTTCATCTGGCCAGTGCACCGGTCGACAATGACGCAGCCGCTGTGCTCCAGGCCGCGCAGTAGCACGAGGTCCGGGTACGAACCCCATCGCTGGTGGAAGGCCCCCCACAGCTCGGCCATGTCCATGCAGTCGTTGGGCTCGAACAGCAGGTCCAGGACGCACGCCTCCTCCGACCTCTTATCCGGGCCTTCCACTGACCCTCTTTCCTCGACAGTCTGACTTGTCTTCTGGCAACAGGTTGGGAACAATCGTCGGTGCAGTCAAACATCGTCACATTAAAGGCAAAAGGAAGAAAAAATTATCTTATAATATACAACTGATCGGGTTTAACGTTCCGACGCCACCATATGATTTTGAGAGAAGCCGTAGTGGAGGGCTCCAGAGATTTCGACCACCTGGGGTTCTTTATAGTGCACCTAAATTTAAACACACTGACCTCAAGCATTTTTGCCTTCCATCAAAAATGCGGCCGCCGCGGCCGGGATTCGATCTCGCGACCTACGGGTGAGCGGTTACGAGCCTTAGCAAGTGATGAGAGGGACCAAAAAAAGACAGAAAAAAAAATTCGAACATGAGGTGTCGCAGCCAATATCTATGCATAACCTGCTGAACAGAGTAACGTACATACTCATGTTCTGGGCGCAGGTTATTTTTGCCAACTTCTGGGTCAAAATCACACATGGAGCTAAAACACCGAAGAAGAAAAGGACAGGTTTTTCGTCTTGCACATTTTCAGCACTACTTGCCTTCATTGTTGAAGTGAAAGCGAGGCGTTAACCACTGAGCCACCCCGGAGAACGATGCCTTCATTGAAGTGTAGTACTCACTCGAACAAAGATAAGCGATAATGAACATTCGTCACTTTCAAGAGGTTAAAAGAATATTATTTCTCACTTTTATCCTCTTTACTCGTCGCATTTTCACACTCCCATCTGTACCGGATGAGCTTGTCCTCTGTTCCATCGCACTTGTTCTAAGATTCCAAAGACCTTGAAACTACTATTCATGTTGAAGGAAACTTTACCCCACGCTCTAAATATACACTCAAACTTCGATATAACAAACCAAGATACAGTCGAAACCTGTAATAACGAAACCTCGCGAGTACGAAATCCCCGCAGCAACGAAATATTTCCGAATCCCTGGCGAACGTTCATAGAAGCCCATGTGTTAAGTATCTCGTGGCAACGAAGTGTTTTTGGACAGCGATCCCGCATTAACGAATTTTCTACCACGGTGCGGGCCTTATTTTACCCTCCCGCCAAAGGTTAGCTGTCGAAAAAATGCTTGTATGCGTGTTATGCGCACTCATAATTTATAAACATCTGCTTTTACCGCGCTAGCGTGGGTACCGCCATTTTTGTTTACATCAGGGGGGACGCGGCTTTGGGGTCGCGAAAAACGGCAAAAAAAATAGATTTTTTTTTTTTTTGAAAACCAAGTTTTCAGTTTCTGGAACCCTTTTTCTATCTGATTCCAAAATAGTATCTACACTAAAAACCGTGCAGAAGTGCTTCGGAAAATTCATTTCACCCACCTAGGTAGCGGAACTTTTTCTGGAAATCGCGAGAAAACAGCGATTCTTGGGCTCATCGGAAAGAGCATTTCTCCGTGTTTAACTTTCCCGCCTCAGCTGGCTCCTCCCTTTAAAAACAAGTGCACAAAAAGCAAATGTTTGAAGATCGTTTCGAGGCCTTTGATTAGCTGTGGCCGCCTTGTTGCCTCAGCTCGCCTCCCCATTGGCCCGATGCTCGCTCCGGGAGATCGTCGTCTGCTCCTTGTGTGTCGTGAAGACATGGCTCTCGAAAATTGCTACTTCGTGACGTGTTCACGGCTTGAAGATCACTTAAGATATAATTACCCTTTAGTTAGGAGCAGTAGGCGGATGCGCGATCAGGTTACTACGAGCACGGCGCGTCATCGGAGTCGTCTTTAGCCCCCACTCCACCGCCAGTGAGACTGCCGGCAGGAACGACGCGCTAGCGCACTCGTGGCGACGTGCTTCGTCGCAAGCAATGAAGCTGTAAGCGGCGGCACGGTCAGATTACTACGAGTTGCCGCACCGGATGGATTATTACTACGAGCGAGCGTGCAGTCTACGCGCGTGGCGCGTCATTGGCTTTAGTCCTAACTCCGCTGACAGCAAGACTGCGGGCAGGAACGACGCGCTAGCGCATCCACAACAACCCGCGGGTTGTTTTGGATGCACTGGACACCCTTCGCTCCTTCTTCGGCGCACATGACGACGACGTAGCAATGGACCACTTTTTTCCAGTGCTAAGGGAGAGCTTTGAAGTTGTTGCATGGCAAGGGTCGGCAAAGTAAGTTGAGCGATTTCTGGCAATAAATTTTTGTTCTGCTGACCGTATCACTGTTTTTATGTCTCATACTCGTGGCAACGAAATTCTCGCGAAAAGAAAATTTTTCGGTTTCTCCGCAACTTTGTTATTGCGGGTTTCGATTGTATTACGTAATATCGGCTACAACGAAGCAAACGTAGAATACTCCTGCAATAAATACACTGTTAGGAATGCATTTATAACGAAGTTATTTTCGTGTATGATGCAACTTCTAAAGAGGTTTGAGTGCACAATTTCACACATCCACGAGAAATGCCCTCTTCAGCTGTCCAGTTAGTGTTGCTTGATGAGCGGCAGCACCTCGGAGGCAGCTGCTAAACCTCCCAAGACTGTCGTTCAGCCAACTACAGGTGCGAAAAAACACCTCACAGCTGCCTTGTTTCCTCCTCCGCAAAAAGAACTCTGAAATTCTCACGACACCCTACAAGTGTTACTGCTAAACCTCTTCAAAATTTAAGGGTATGGCTAAAATGACTAATCTTTCAATATATCTTTTGGGGGCATTCTCTAACAGAGTTCTAAGTGCGGCTACGTTGTGCGCGGGTGGGCATCACACGACTACACGGAGTGATGTCATTGTTGGTGGCAGTTCCTATGTGGCTAGCCTGGAAAGCATTGTTGGCCCAAGAACACAGTTTCCTAAAACGCGAACATCAAGGATGACTGCCAGTTGGGCGTGTTGGTAATGGTTCATGATGAGACAAGTGCTTACTAGCAACTGAAATTTTTATTTCGAAGCGAACACTAATAAATACATCACACGCATGTGCGTCACTTCCAACTTCCCCTGTCATCATCAAAAACGTGATATTACAAAATATGCACGTGCCCACAATCGGAAACAAACACGTACTAAGAGCTAAGAAAAAACGTGACACAGAGAAAAACACTGGGTTATGTGACATCCAAAAAAGCAAATTCCGCATCTGTTAGTAGAACTGACGCTTGGCTGACGCAACTGTCCCCTCCTTTCCTTATTCTATACGCTTCCATTATTTCTCTCGTCGTCCGCTTGTTGTGCCTGTCAATTACAGGCACAACACCGGCACTGCAAGGAATGCACATGCCAACCGAAATTTTACGACACACGAATAATTGACAGGCACAACAAGCGGACGACGAGAGCAATAATGGAAGCGTATAGAATAAGAAAAGGAGGGGACAGTTGCGTCAGCCAAGCGTCAGTTCTACTAACAGATGCGGAATTCGCTTTTTTGGATGTCACATAACCCAGTGTTTTTCTCTGTGTCACGTTTTTTCTTAGTTCTTGGTACGTGTTTGTTTCCGATTGTGGGCGCGTGCATATTTTGTAATATCACGTTTTTGATGATGACAGCAGAAGTTGGAAGTGACGCACATGCGTGTGATGTATTTATTAGTGTTCGCTTCGAAATAAAAACTTCAGTTGCTAGTAAGCGCTTGTCTGTGTCCTCTCTGAGTGTGTGTATTTTTTGCGCTTGTCTCATCGTGAACATCAAGTCAATCCCTCGTATGGAGAGAGCAGAGAGAGAGAGCACACCTCTTTAGGCACAGGCGGCAGCTGCCTACTCGGATGCCGGTAGCCAGGCACCAGTCGCACCATTTTTCGCCTGCCACTCTTATGAATCTGCAACGAACATGACGTTAGCAACTATTTACTACAGCGAAAGCAAAAATCGGCTCCCGTTAATATGAAGTTCAAGGGAACCGCAGAAAACTTTAAATTAAACAAACTTTTAATGAAGCAAAATGAACAAAAACTGCACTTTTATTACTTCAAGCAATTTTTATTGCTTCAAGCCTGACATTTTTCTAAAAAAAAATAGTCATCATCTTCTCTTGCCGAGCCTGGTTGCAGCTAGCAAGTTTTCCAAGCACTACACGTGTCGAAGTGCTTCTTCAACAGTGTCTTCTTCAACAGAACAGAAAGGCAAGGTTCTATTTGGTGTCGCATAAGTTGGTTCCGAGGGCTACCGATGTTGCTCGCAGAGACATCGGTAACCCTCGGCAGCAGTTTGTTTGTGATGTCGTCATCGTCGTCGTCCACTAGCCCATTAGTCGACCGCATGTAGCGACGTTGCTGTCTACAGCAACGAATTCTTCAAAACGGACGTCACTAAGAACGGTCCTAAAACTGCAGTCGTCGAAATCACCTGTCTGCGCTTGACAAATTTTGCGAGCGTGCTAGGATTAACACCGTACTTCTGTGCAATGCCTTGCTTGGCGGTGCCTCCCTGTTCAACTTCTTTCAAGACTTCCCAATTTTAACGCCAGGTCAAGCGTTCAGTAGGGGCTGCGAGTTGCCATTATCAAGTGCCACCACCACAGCACTCAAAATAAGATGCGGAAACACATCCGGATTCAGCCCAGAGTGCGTTGACGGGCTAGTTGGTTTATCGTGCTATGTTTGAACAGCATGAATAGACGCGGAAGAAACAGAGCACGCAAACACAGATACAGCGCTCTGTGTGTGTCTGCAAATTCTTCTCCGCTCGCATCCATTCGCACTGTTGTAACTCCAACCCAGCACACAGCTCAAGCACTCAACAAATCACAAAGAAAGATCTAGTTAGCCAGTGCAATCAATGCGATACCCCGTTGTTGAATAAACAAGATGGCCGCTTCATAAACTGAGGCACTGCGAGCAGCGACGATGGCAACAACAGCGCGGTCCGACAACAGTCCTAACACATGAAAAATTCCCCATTCCAGTCAAAAATTGAGGTCGCCTCAAAGCTTTGACTGAAAAATACTAATTACCCGCATTACAGGCTTTTAACTTCAAACTATTAGGTATTTTTCTCATAGGCTTGCATACAAAACTGATGGGACAACTCGTTGACTTCTAATTACCTAAAAATTGCAATTAAGCAACCTCAAATTAGCGGGAGACGACTGTATTGTGACACCACAACAATAGGCTATTTTGGTGGCCAGTTGTCCGCTGCCACCTCCAGTGTTTCCAGCTTGTTTCGCAGAAATTCCGGCGTCAGTGTCGTTGGTTGTGAGCAAGACATCACCATTTCTTGCGTGACCGAAAAATCGAGAACGATGAGAATAAAATGAATAAATGATACAAAATCCTGGAGCAGAGTAGGGACCGAACCAGGGTAGTTTGGGTTTAAGTGGGAGTCGAACTCGAGTCACCTGCGTGGCAAGTGGATGTTCTATCACACAGCCATGCCTCTGCTTGTCAAAACAGTGAAAAGAACTTCCTCTGCTTGGAAATGCAGTGAAAGTAGCTTTCATGCTTCACAAGCACACGCATCATGTTTACAAGCTTCACCGTGCAAGATGAATTATTCACAATGCAACATGAAATATTGCAGTAGTAACGCATGGTACAAGTGTCTATTGCCAACGGGCGTCAGAATATGTGATCATCATGGTGGCTCCGTGGTTGATAGTCGGTCACCCACTACAAAAGGCACACGCGCTACTGCGCCTGTTCCCTTTTAAGACCACGTAGTGGGTGCGTAGCAAATTCGAAAAGGTTTGAAGGACACACTAGGAACAGGATGTTGCTATCACATTCAACTCCGAAAGGCGAAAATTTAGGGTTCCCTAATGCACTCATGAATACTTGGTCAACGTTTTAATTCGAGTAAAGGTGGTTTTTTTTCTTTCGGACGGAATCAGAAAGTCGTTGTAAGATGCGGGGTCGGCATAAAACTGTGGAGCAACAACAAGGAGGATAGTTTCTGGGAAATCTTGCCGGGAATAAGCTGATTCGTCGTAAAATGCGGGTCGTCGCGAGACCGGGGGGACGACATATAGTCGAAGTTCCACTATAGTCAAAGTGTTCGATCATTCGTGCATGCCTAGACATTACCCTATGAAGCCATATTGATGTCACAGGCCGGCGAAATTCGTGATATCGTCATGACGACACAGTGATGTCATGATGTAACGTGACGTCATACGGTGCCGTCGTACACATTGTTGCTTGGTCACAGGCGGGCCGATCTTAATGTCACTGCTAACTCATGAGAGATGCAGAACGCTTGCATGCATCCAATTCCAGAGGCCGAGCGACAGCCCGTTGGGTGCAGAAACGTTCCAGGTGCGGGATCAATACGATAGATTCAGAAGAAAGAGAAAATGAAGTTTGCCTTCGATGTGTAAGATATTCTGCGAGTCTTTCTTCATCTTTTTGAAGCTCTGATGTTCCTATTTCTGCTTTTGCTACTTTAGACAAGAAAGGTTTCACCTGCAAGCAACACACTGCAACGCGAATGGCTGGTGACTATAACGCTCACCTCAGCTACGTCGGAGATGGCCTCTATCAGGTGGGTCATCTTCCCGTACGGCAGGTAGTTGGCAATGCGAAGGGGTCGGCCAAACTCTTGCTGGTAGGCGTGACCCAACTTGTGCACTGGAAGTCCCTTGTCGCCCAGTGGACTCAGCAGCTGCACCAGTTCCCTGGCAAACAGGCGCAGGCGCTCCGCTACCTCCAACGTTGGATCCGGAGGCGCTAAAAAAAAGTACAAGCCGTCGGTCTTTCTCCCAGAGTGCAATTACCTTACAGTCGATTACAGGCCGAGAAAAAAAAAAAGCTACCTCTATCCACAGAACCGTGGGATGCCTACCCGTCACTTGTGAAAGGCAGCCATGCTCGCCGGTTTCTGTTTGAGCTGTAAGGACTTTATCTCGACCAATGTAAATGGTCAGACCCACCTATAACGACCCCATATATAACAATCTATCCAATACAACCATATGTCAGTGCCATCGGTCGGCAAACTCACTCGGACTGACTCAAACTCAGATCGAGCTGCGAGTCCGAGTGAACAATATTTTGGCGAGTTTGAGTTCGAGCAAGTCCGGTTGAAAAAAATTTTCGTGGGGTGCAAGTCCGAGCGAGTCCAAAGCGCAAGTTCCTCTTTTGTTTGCCGACCTATGGTCCTATCTAATCACCTTTAGCGTTATTGTAAGCCTCATCTTCATATTTATCTGCGAGTAGCCTTATCTTCACGTCTACTCCTACGTGTTTCAAAGCAGTATTGTTCATAACCATTTCAATACTTATCGGTCAAGGGTGTTAATTTCATTAGGAGGATGCCTTCAATTCCACCCCCGCCTACTGTTCCAAGAAAGTTCTTGGTGAATATATCGTATGCTGTCATCTTTCCTCAAGAAAAGTGTCATCACTGGTTTGCAACCACTTGTATGTACACAAAAAGGCTTTACCGTAATTACTCGAATCTAACGCGCACCTTTTTTCCGGTTAATTGAGTTCATAAATCGCATGCGCGTTAGAATCAAGTACGAAAAAAAAAAAAATGAAGACAATCATTCTATTGCCATCGGCATTTCCGAAATGGCCGCCCCCTATGTGCATCGGCATGCAAGGTCGGCCATTTCTGCCTATGTGTTTCCCTTGTGCAGCACTTCGTACGTGTGCTGAGGAGTTCGTCATTTTGTAGTGCATTAGCATCGACGGCACGGCAGGGCCGACTCCAAAACTCGAGTGCACCACGATGTCGCTTTTTAAAGAAAAGTCATCGCGTGTGCCGAAACTGACGGAAATCGGGCCGCATCGCGGTCGTTCGGAGTTCCCGAAACGTGCGTGTGAGGCTGGCGGAAACAAAAGCAGAAGATTGTCGACAGCAAAGCTTCACGCAAAGGCTTCAGTGGACCACAGCAGGGTCGTTTTCCGCAAATTGAAGAGCTGCTCGGCGAGTATGTGCTTGAGCAGCGAGCGGCACAGCGGCCCGTGACGACAGAACTGCTCCAAGTGCGGGCTATACAATTAGCCTTAGAAAAAGGTCTAATGCGGAGCCAGTTTAAAGCGAGCAGGTGCTGGCTAACTAACTTTATGAAGAGGAAAGGCTTTTCCTTTCGAAGGGGAATGGGCATATGCGAAAAGTTTTGCGGAGAAATACGATGAAAAGCTTAACAGTTTTCAGAGGTTCGTCCTAAACCTGCGGCACAACAACGGCTACCTGCTTGGGCAAATCGGGAATGCCGATCAGGCGCCTCTTTACTTCGACATGCCTGGCACCACAACCGTCGAGAAGAAGGGGGCGAAGCAAGTTCGCGTGCTGACATCGGTCCACAATAAAACTACAGTGACGGCAATGCTCTGTTGCACGTCAGATGGGCACAAGCTTCGCCCGTACCTCATATTAAAATGGAAGACACTCCCGAAAGGAGTCGTTTTTTTCGAGTGGTGTGATCGTGTGGGCCAGCGAGAAAAATGAGTGCACGTTGCAATCAATGTCTTACGTATTTTTTTTCGTCGTGGAAATCTGGTGCGCGTTACAATCGAGGGCGCGGTAGAATCAAGTAAATACGGTATATCAAAATGCACCAGACATAGCACCGATTACATGAGATATTGGTGTTAAAGAGCATCGGCACCACGATCAAAAAAGCTAATTTTGGAGACTTGCGAGTCGACTCGCTCGGACAGGCTCAGACTCGGATCAAGCGACGAGTCCCAGCGAGTCCGGCTCAGGCAAATTTGTTGAGCCTAAGTCTGAGTCACCCCTAAGTGTAAAATATATTTCATGAACGAGCTCCGTAATTTTCGCTGACCTATGGTGAGTGAACTAACGATTTTCGTATACAGTCGAAACCCTTTATAAGAGACACTGATATAAGAGAGAAATGGGTATAAGACACACCAGTATGCGTACAGTGAAATACGGGTTGATAGGAAAATGCATACGAGGTACCCTGCTTATAAGGGACATCTCGTGTGAAAGACAGGAATCGCTGCTTGGAGCATGCCTCTTATACAGGGGTTCAACTGTACTATGGGTCGAAGTTGCATCCACAGACGGCCAACTTTTTCCAAGGCCTCCTATTTTTACTAAAGGCACCTCAGACATGGTCACGGTAATTATGTAGCACATATGAAGCGGAAAAACAAAAAGCTAAAACGGGCCTTCTAAAGCATGAGAGGGGCACGCACTTGCACATTAACTTGCGGCAAAAATGTCATAAATTGGCTACCACCGCACACAGGTTTCGGACGCTGTGAGCGAAGTCTTTCACTTTTCAGGCGTTTCTTCAGTGGCAGATTGGCGGTGAGCAAAAAATAGAACGAAATAAGGTGCAGCTTTAGCTTTCACACGGCAAGCCTTTTCGGTTCTCTGCTCCTACGCGTGCCTACAGTTAAATATAACGACGACTTGAAAAGGAAGAAGCCATAAATGCTATAAGCGATGACCGTGATAACTTTTCGTCCCATAAAAGTTCACTGCGTCAACGTGACAATGTGCCGCACAATGGCTTGCATATTTTTTTTGGGGAATCGGTGGAAGCTGGTAAATCGATGGTTACGTCTTCCCGCAACTGTGGCGATGTTGTCATGAATAAACATCAGAAAAGAGTGAACGCGATGCAGTGGTCGGTGATGAACATGCTATTACGACTAATTGCGGTCAATGTTAACACAGTCATTTGTTTGCTTGGCTTTGCATATGGCGTAAAGTGCGCAGATTGACTGCCATACAAATCACCACGCTGCCGTTTGCAAGTTCACCACTGCCACGTCACGCAACCGTGTCATATTAAAGAAACGTAAGTACACTAAAACCTCAATATAATAAAACTGCATCTTACACAAAAATAAGTTCGTTATATCTAAAAATTCGTTACAAAGGTTTACTCCCATCCCCATATCTATTGCAAAACTATCTTTATTTTACTTTGTTATAACTAATATTTTGTTATATCCGAGTTCGTTATATCGAGGTTTGAGTGTAGCTCGCCCGCATTGAGCAGCGCGAGCACCGAGTAATGCCGATGCACAAACAGCGAGCGTGCCGCACCTCGTCGTGCAGGACTGCGTGAGTATCGTGGAGACGTAGACTGCGTACTGCTTGCGACACGCTTATCTTCATGGCGTTGAACGAACCGGCTGCTCGTCGCACCCGTGCACTGTCTGGAAGAACGCACAAACGTGCACATACAGTATAAAGCGGCCCCTGCCGTGTGCCGTAGGCAACGCACTGCACGCAACTAGCCAAGAATGATCAGGTTCGCGTGGCAGAGCCGCGGTTTAGCAAAACGGTGTCAGTTAATTGCAAAATGGCGCCACTTCGCGGCATCACAGTGCTTAATGTCAACACCCTCTGACACTTTTTAAGCACCCATCTTTTATTTTTGGTTCGCGTAGACTGATGGCTGTGGATCATTTTAGCACTAGGTCTAAGCAAATATCTGTTCACGCAATAAAATCACTACATCGCTGCTGGACCTGTCGGCACGTAGTGGGGTTTCCCAGAGCTATTGTGGGGAGGGAATGGCAACGCATGGCGCAGGCCTGTGAGACGATAAGTGTAATGTTTGAGGTGATCGTGGCATGAGAACTGAGATAACTAGTGTGTTTCATATTTCTTTTGTCTGCTTTTTAATTGAGCCCCAAGTGATGCCATCACAACGAAAAAAGATCACTACGACTGCAAAACAAGGCAGAGGCGCCGGTTACCATTTCGCCTCTGGATATTTAGCTTGCAAAGGTTTTTTTTCCCAACACTTTTTTGCCGGTGAATAAGTATATCTTGCGAGTAAATACTACCCTAAGATACATGCAAAATTAGAAGTATTACTCTTTATACCCCTCCCCCCTTTTTTTTATTCCACAAGGCAAAGAAATTGACTTCTTTGACACCTTAGAGGCAGGAATCAAATCGCAAAAAAAAAAAAAAAAAAAACCATTTCGTTTTCAGTTTCTGTAGCCCTTTTTCTACCTAAATCCAAAATATACTCGTTGAAAGGCCCGCTGAAGTGCTTTTGAATATTGTTGCACTCGCAGAGATGGCAAAAGTTACTGTGGAAAATCTCAAAAAAAAAAAAAAAAAAGAAAACGTATAATTTCAAAACACGATTGCTCGAGACGGTACGAGGCATGGGGATCTTGGGCTCATCGGAAAGAGAATGTCTCCATGCTCGAATTTTCTACTGCCTACACAAGACTATTTTTCATTTACTTTGTTATAACCAATAATTCGTTATATCGAGGTTTGAGTATATTATATATTATCCAAAGACGATCATCTTCCTCTCATGATAGAATCTTGTACCGATGGTGATCTTGGGCGCAAAAAACGATCCGAGCGCATTGTGCCTGAAACGATTTCAACATATACCCTGCAGTATCTTCAATCTCTGGTATCCAAAGAATACTCACCCGATTCGGGATAAGTGATGAATACAGTGCCTTCTTTACGCTCCACCTGCAATCGAGATGAGAAAGAAGTTTTGGCAATATTCAATGACAAATAGGCCAGACAAGACTAACTTGGCGTGTGAAAACCAGAACAGCACATTTCGAATAGAATAAAGCAGAGGGAAGCTCAATGCAAGATCAAATGTCAAATTCTACGGATAAGGTCATGCTGATAAACCTTGCGCTGGCACGCCCTGGTGTGCCATGTGCTCCAAGTTCTTACTTCGTACAGTGAAATCTCAGTATAACGAACTTCAGGGGGCCGCGGCGATTCGTTCGCTATTTCGAAAGTCCGTAAGATTGAAAGCCCGAAAATTAACTATAAATACTCATTTTCCACCGACCAAAACAACTTATACTTACAACGGTGGGTCCTTGAACTCGTTTTTAATGGGAAAAAACAAATTCACACGTGAACACCAAAAAATGCACGTTTGTAATTTTTTTCTTGACGCTGTTACGCCTGGGAGTCCACACCGAACGTCATTGCCACTGCAAAGGCAATCTGTGTCAAGGCCAGCGAGCGAGCCCACTTGACGCCATAATCTCAGCGACGTCATCAAGCGGCGGCGCCGGTCTGTCTTACGCAATGCACAGCGACCTCCCTCAGCCTACGGGCCCGATGAAGCAAGCGGCGCCATCCAGCCTGGCGAGTCTTACGCAATGCGTGGCAACATCACTCGTCCTTGGGTGCAACCAAGCGCAGCGCTTCCGGATTTGAGGATCATGATGCAACCCAGTGGCGGTTCTTTACTGGAGGAATCGGACATCACAGCCAGCGGCGCTTCTGATTGGACGTTGGTGACATAAAGGTTCTTCGGCTCTTCGTGTCCCTAAGCTGTCTGCCCCAGTGCAGAATATGTAATGCCTCTATTTCTATACTGTACATAAACCTTGCCTTAAGGGGGCACACGGGTCTTTGGGGCCGAAAAATTGCCCCAAAACGCATTTTTTTTAGATGTCATTTTTGAAATCTACAGGTATTTTTCTATTAGTTTGCTCAGTTTTGCCTCCGAAAAGTTGGTACTTGAACAGTAACGGCTACTTATAAAAGCCGTACGGGCCCGATTTGGCGAGATTCTGACGCCAAAATGGCAATTTTTCAATAATTCCCCGCAGCTGCGTCACGGGCAGTATCGCAGTGATCTAGGTCTCATTTGAAAGCACGGTCTTCCGTCTTCAATTTCCCGCCACTCTGGCTCCTGTCCGCTGATTGGTAGAGTAGAAAACACGCGCCAAAAAAAGCAAGAATACGCGTTCCTATTCGCCGGCGAGCGCACGTGACTAAACAGCGCAACGCGATTGGCCGCAAGCAACGTGTGTCGTCTGCTTCGCGCCGTTGGCGGCGCAGTCAGGCGCCATATTGCTCGGACTGAGAACGACGGATTAGCCAAGGATCGCGCGCGATGTGGAAAGCCGGAAGGAAATTCCACACAAGGAATCAGTACGGCAAAAAAAGAAAAAAGTCGCTCCTCGAGAACTTCAAAGGCCGTTCCGCGTCAGCGAGGAGCGCTGAACGAGCAAGCGACCCACCTTCCGTGGCCAGTGGCGAGGCCCCTGATAACATAGGCCTAGCACCTCCGCCGCCGCCCGCTCAAGATAACGCATCCGGCCGCGGCCGCGTTCGTCTTGACACGGCAGTGCTGCACCTGTTAGAAGTGGCAGAGGTGCGTCGCAACGCCGAAAACAAGCTGCAAGAGCTCGCTTCAACTGGAGCAACACAACGCAAGTGTGGCCTGTTAGCCGATATCGACGATGCCGCAGCCACGCCGCTGGACGAAACACGGTTTTCGATCGTGAGTTTGGACCAGGTGAACGAACTGATGCGTGCAGTGAAGTGCAAATTGTGCTCCGGTGATGTAAACATCGGCAAAGAGGACAGGGAGTAAGGCCTTGGCGTAAAGCTAGTGCTTACGTGCGCGACCTGCGGTGATGTGTCGGTGGCATGGAGCTCGCCGCGCGTTGACGGCGAGAGCAAGGCAAAGCCGTTTGCCATCAATGTTTTGGGCGTGCGCGCTATGCAGTCTACTGGCAATCAGCAAACGGCATTCAACGACGTTTTTTCATCGATGAACATTTCTTCGCGCGGCCTGCACAACAAAACGTGGCAGAGCTACGTGAAGACGAAACTGACGCCCGCAGCTGTTCGTGCGTCGGAAAAGCTGACCGCGGAGTGCGCGCGATCGGTTCGGGAACTGTACGCGGAACTGGACCTCGGCAACCCGGACAACATCGCTGTGTCGTACGACGGTTCCTGGATGACGAGGGGACACTCGTCGCACATCGGAGTCGGCACGGTTATTGAGTTGTTTACGGGGCTTGTGCTCGATTATGTCGTGCTCTGCAATTTTTGTGCCGGCTGCGAGCGGGCGCCTAAAGAAAGTGACCCGTCCTACGACGAGTGGAAAACGAACCACCACTGCCAGAAAAACAGCACAAAAAAAGCTGGAGAGATGGAAGTGGAAGCTGGCCTCATTCTGTTGCAGAGGTCGTGGGAGCGTCATAAGCTGAGATACACTACAGTTCTTTCTGATGGCGACTGCCGCACCTACCCTGCTTTGAAGGAAGCAGATGTGTATGGTTTTATAAAGGTAACCAAAGAGGAATGTGTGAACCACGTCCAGAAGAGGATGGGCACGCAACTGCGCAATCTCCCCAAGCAGAGGCCAGCTGGCTCTGAGAGCCTCAGTGGTAGGGGGCGGCTGACTGGTGACCTGGTTAACAAATTGACCTCTTACTATGGCTGGGCCATCAAATCTCACAAAGGGGACGTGCCAGCCATGCACAATGCTGTGATGGCCACATACCACCATGTGACGTCCAACGATGCCGTGTCCAACCACAGCCTGTGCCCTACAGGTCCTGACTCGTGGTGCCGCCAGAACGCTGCCAAGGCCAGGAGTGAGCCGGCCCCCAAACACCGCTACAACCTGCCGCCGCATGTCTGTGAGGCCTTGCTTCCAGTGTACGAACGCTTGGCGGACAAGAAGCTGCTGGAGCGCTGCCAGCGAGGCAAGACTCAGAACAGTAATGAAAGTCTCCACTCTGTGATTTGGTCGCTGGCCCCGAAGGAGCGCCATGCATCACTGCACAGTGTAGAAGCTGCGGTCGCTGAGGCAGTAATGAGGTTTAATGCCGGAAGTCAAGTAACATCATCCAAGATCCTCAAAGAGCTGTGCTTGAACCCCGGCCTACTGAGTAGCAAACGCATGACTCTACCCTCAGGCGTGCGTCTGCAGAAAATGTGCAGCGGACGCTCAAGAAGCGGCACCTGGATGCCAGCAGTCAAGGGGACTATGCTTCTGGGGCCTACTAGTCATTTCGCTCCAAAAATGTACAGAATGTTTTACCGTTTACATTAAACTTGGCACCGTTGTGTTTTTTGCCATTTTCTCAAAATGCATATTTTTGACGTTTAGGAAATTCTTGAGAGGTACATCTCGGCATGCGGTGCAGCTAGAAAGATAATTTCTTTTGCATTGTCAAGCTGAATGTTTAAGCCTTGAAGTAAGGGAAACAGATTTTGCATTTCACGTTTAAATAATTGTTTAATTAGCATTGTTTATAACTGGTTAGCAGGCATACTTTAAACCGAGAAATTAGAATTGATGTAAACTTGCATGTGTGATTGCCAGACAAAAAAACTGCTTCCGTCGTTTCATTCTCCACAACTTCTAGTATCTATTCATGCCATGCTGGTAATTTTTTGTTGACTAGTTTTTTTTTTCTATTGTTCTCAAGAACAATCACGAAAGATTTTTAATTATCTCGGGAACTAATTAGCTTACATCAAAACTAATTGGATATTTGAAATCAGCTAAAAAAACTGAACAAGCTCATGGAGTTTCATTAAAATTGGTTGGAAAGCAAAAAAAAAGTTTCCAAGACCAGTGTGCCCCCTTAACTCATCGTCGTCTTGTCCGCTCGTCTATCAGCTCTGCGCAGACGCAGTCGCGAGCTGAGAAACACACGCTACCAAACAGCCAGTGACCTTTGCAGCGGCGAGTTTCGTGGCCCCCTTCGTAACCACGGCGGCGGCACGCCTTCGTAACAGTGGATGGCAGCTGCGGGATCGGCCGGCGTCATCGACATCGATGCGGTGAGTGCCCGGTGTTTTCCCCTCAGTTCACCTGACTACTCTAGCGCAGGTTATAGTAGTTTAGAGAAGGGCTGTGTCAAGCATTAGTGGGTGAGCTTTGATTGTTTCAAGCGAAGCCGGAGCGCTTTGAAAACAAAGTTGATGCGGAGGGTGTAAACACGGCAGTGCTAAAAATTGCTTGCGCGTCTTGCTAGTAGACTTATAGCAGGTGCGGCAAGTAGATTCTTATAAGAAGAAAACAGCAAGAGGCTAGTGTCAACAATGCTTAAAGTGAAGGAACTCATCAAAATTTGTGAGGAACTTAGCCTTACTTTCGGCCGTGCGAAACGAAAGCAAGCGATCCTTGAGATCATGAAGGATGAAGGAGTGACGACTGAGGAAGTCGATGACGCCTGGGCGGATATCAAAGCACGCCGCGAGAAGGCCGGAAGGCGAGCAGTAGAAGTTCGCGAACTTGAAGAAGATGAAAGGCGAGAACGCCGTGAGGAGGCCGAGAGACAGGAGCGCCTCGAGTTGAAACGAATAAAATTGGCAATCCTACAGTGTTCGAAGGTGCCTAGTGTAGCTTCTGCGACAGTTCAGATCAGCGGTCATAGAATTCGGGACCAACTGCCACCGTTCGTAATCGGCGAGGACATGGCGAAGTATCTCGTTAAGTTCGAACGCGTATGTGAGCGAAATGCCTTGGAGCGGTCTCTTTGGGCGCACAACCTGTTAGCTCTTCTTCCCGGCGAAGTGTCCGACGTGATGACGTGCTTGTTGAAGGAAGCGTTCGAGAGCTATGACGAGGTTAAGGAAGTGCCCTTGTGACGTTATAGGCTGTCACCCGAGGCTTTCCGGCAAAGGTTCTGGTACTTGCTTCAGCAAGGGGTGTGTAGAGCCGCTTCAACAGCCGGCCTCATCCTTTC